TATATATATATATATATATTATATATATATATATATATATATATATATATATTATATATATATATATATATATATATATATATATATATATATATATATATATATATATATATATATATATATATATATATATATATATATATATATATATATATATTACATTATGTATTCAGACACAAACAAAATCTCCAAACGAAAGCACGCACGGCATCATATTTAGGTATATGATTTCCAGTACAATATATCGAAATCAAATCAAAATGATTTCTTGCATCCAAGTATATCACTGCAGCATAATTTCCCATTTGAATGGCTTTCTGTCTGTGTTTTTATGGCTTCGTGATTTAATATGAGATATTCTCACGTAATCGAACGAAGCCAATTCCAAAATTATTAGGCAACCTTGTTTCTCTTTTGCAGGTTACTGAGAAATGTGATTGGCTATCTCTCATTATCTTAGATTGACTATGAGCTAAAAGGATTTTGGGAAGAAATGACTCATAGGATTTTACTACATCTCGCTTTTAATCAGCTTTAATCTAACATTTCTAACCTTTTTTGACATGACTTCTAACAATCATTTTCTTGATTATATTCAGTCTGGCCGCCCTTGGGATTTTTTTTTTCTTTCACGCCGATATACATTTCTTAGGCACTCACTATTTAAGAATAGTTACCAAAAAAGAATATATTTCATCAGTGTTCTTGGTCTCTGTCAGTCCATTAAATTATTCGGGTATTTAGTATTCGTCTGTGTCTAATGTTGGTTCCCTGGCTCTTCTGTGTCGTCGAGTTTGTGCACCTCCTCACAATAGATTCTGTGCCTTTGTATTCCCTAATGCTGTTTGTGTACTGTATACAAATTTTAACTGGAAAGTGAATATGTAAATTTAGTAAATAAATCTGTGACACGAGTTTTCTGTTTCCTACATTACTTTTCTGTTTTTTTTTTAATATATATATATATGTTTGAATCATTTATCTGGATATTTTTCTGATGAATAATCCTTATAATAAAAGCTTACGTGTATTAGGCGTAATAATTGGATGTGTGAAAATGTATATTTCTCAAAAGAATCTACGGACATCACTCGCCACATTTCACTGTCTTGACCTTTAGCTGTTACATTAGTCGCCAAATTTCACTTTCTTAAACTTTAGCTATTTCATTTTAACTGGTGTCTTAGAATATATTATTCTATTATACCCTAAATTTGGAATGTTATGATCACTGAGTACTGTGACTAGTTTCAGCTGATGCATTAGAGAACAGAACTTGTTATATAAACCTCTTACGTAAAATTATTACACAACGTGATACACGGAATATATAAGATCTTGCCCACGCCTGTGTAATCAACCGAAACAATAAAGAAAGAATTACACTGAAATTCCCTTCCAGAATACAAGCCAAACATAATTCAGGATTTCAAACCATCTCGAACGAATACCATGAAGACTATAATACGTTCTTCACCAAAACAGGTTCTTAGCAAAAATACAAATACTTGGATCTCAACCTCCCGAAAGTGAACTATTTATACGGTGCAGTTACTCGTACAACTCACACATCTCTGAGAAACACATCAGAAATGAGGGTCATCCGGAAAGCAGCAAGATATATACTTAACTGGAAAGTCTGTTTTTCATTCGGAGAGTGTATATGGAAATGAAAACAACCACAATGAAAATATATGTATATACATTATATATATATATATATATATATATATATATATATATATATATATATATATATATATATATATATATATATATATATATATATATATAATATATATATATATTATATATATGTATATGTATATGTATATATATATATTATATATATATATATATAATATATATATATAATATATATATATATATATATATATATATTATATATATATATATATATATATTATATATATATATATATATGTATGTATGTATGTATATATATATATATATATATATATATATATATATATATATATACCATAATATATATACACCACACACACACACACATATGTGTACAGTGTGTGTGTGTGTGTGTGTGTGTGTGTAGTGTGTGTGTGTGTGTGTGTGTGTGTGTGTGTGTGTGTGTGTGTGTGTGTGTGTGTGTGTGTGTGTGTGTGTGTGTGTGTGTGTGTGTGTGTGTGTGTATGTGTGTGTGTGTGTGTGTGTGTGTGTTGTGTGTGTGTGTGTGTGTGTGCATACATACATATACATATATATATATATATATATATATATATATATATATATATATATATATATATATATTATATATATTATATGTATATATAAATATATATATATATATTACATATATATATATATATATATATATATATATATATATATATATATATATATATATATATATATATATTATATATGCTGATACATAAATGCACACACAGATATGTTAATAATCATAAGAATTCCTCGCTGACACAGGAGAGAGAGAGATAGAGAGATAGATAGATAG